ATCTGAATAACCACAGAAGGTCACCCTTTCCCAAATGCTGAGCTGATAGTGTATTTGCATCTTCCTTGAGCTGATAGTGTATTTGCATCTTCCTAATACTTTGGTTGTCGCTTTTTCTTTTTTTTTTTTTTTTTTTTTTTTCCTGAAAGAAAAGGTTAAAGTGGTAAGGAAAGTGCAGAATATGTAACATGTACTCTGAAAGTAAAATGATCAGGAATGTAGAGCTCAAAGTTTGTAGTCAACCAGCCTTCATTGGCATATATCATATAGAAACCTGCTGTTCTGGTGTATCAAAAGATACAAGAGAATGAATGTAATTACTAGATAGGTCAACATTAGAATATCAAATAAGAATAATAAGAAGATATTACTGCTTGGTGTGACAGACACTGTCACTAAAATATTTTGCCTTAGTTTTTGGTATTAATTTCTACAAAAGATACTGAAAGCTTGGGAGCAGCTCTGAGAAGAGCTAGAAAATGATTAGAGTTAAAAAAAAAAAAAGATTAAGCAAATTAATTTATCAGTGACAAAGGTCAAACCATTAGCAAGTTGCCTATTAATAGAATCTGCACAAGGAAGACATTTGTGTTAGGAGACCATCCTTTAATCTAGGAAAAAAGAGATAATAAGAAATAGTGACTGAAGCTGTACAAATTTAAACCAGTAATAAGAATAAAGATTTTAACCAGGGAGATCAGTAATCATTAGAGGAATACTGTGGGGGATATGGTTTTCAACTTTTTTTTTCAATTTGTGATTTCTGAAATGTTTTTTGTTAGAGAGTGCACACTGCTTTTCATGAAATGTTGTTCTGGTGACTATATGGACTATATGCTTGCTTTTCTTTGCTTACCTTTCCCAGATCTCCAGATGTCCACAAACAAACCTCAGGACATGAGTTCTTCATTGCTAAAAGTCACTAAGTGCAAATGAACCCTTTTCTGTAAAGTTTACCTAAACAGACCAGATTTTTGGGTGTAGAAATTATTGGGTAGGGTCCTGTGGCGTGTGGTACACAGAAATATAACTACATTCTTCTAATGTCCTCTCCTTCCTCTCAAATGCATTCATGTTTGCAGGGGAAGGAGGATCCTTCTTTACTGACAAAGTACTCCCTGCTTACACTGTGGCAAAGCTCCTCTCTGCCCCTTATTTCAGGTCCCTCAGTCAAGAACTTCTTAATTTGCTTTTGATGCTTCCAAGGTAGCATACACATACACACACCCCCTCCTTTTTTTCTTCTTTAAATTGAGTTGCATTTTGGGTCAGTTGTTATTTCTGGGTTTGACCAGGAATTTTCATAGCCAGAATGTCACTTCAAGATGAATCCTTACTGTGTTTGGAAGAGATTAGCTCCAGGATGGCATAACTACTCTTATTTTGTCTGTAAGTAGACTATCAGATCTTGCAAAGAAAACCCTCAGATTTTCTTTCCAAGGTACATAATAAAGCAGAAATATGAATTTGGAAGTGAAGTGTAAATTAGATTTGAATGAGAAGCAGTTCATACTGCTGGGCAGGTGGTAGAATTTTGACTGCCTCCATTGAAGTTTGTGTAACATGGAAACCACATTTCATTTCCAGCTGGAGATTCAATAGGAACTCAGTTGCTGGCATCTGAATTTTTGTTTCATACTACCCCTACCCTTCTGAGGGTCCAGACACCAAACAGACTAACAACAGGTACTTGGCCCACGTGTACAAACCTAGAATGGAATCTCCTCCCTTATTTATCTCATTTTACTTAGAAATTACTGACCTAATTGGCTTTCCTTTCCTACTGATAAGTAAACCTGTACTGTTTGTATCTCTGTTCATTGTGCTTTACACTGAAAGGCAGGTACACTTTAATTGCCAAGATAAACTGCTGTCAAGTTCTGTGACTCAGCAAGTACACTGGGTACGTTTGCTACTAGGGCAGTGCAAGGAATAGGTTTTTAGAAGTAGATAAGCAAAGAAATCTTTCATATCAGTGATCATATGTATATGTTCCAGCTGTCAGAAAAATAAGAGTTAAATGCTGATGGAGTATGTGGTGCCATTACTGCTTTAAAAACAAAAATATCACAGTTTCTTCACAGATTGGAAGCAAAGAAAAAAAATCCGTTCTCCTTCTCAAGCTTTTCTTGATATGTTTCTGCAAATTTGTTTGTGTAAGTGAAGCTGTGTGGTCTCATATATAACCTTCCAGTCGGCTTTGGGTATACTCTCTGGGCAGCATGTTTCACATGAATGCCTCGTTGTAAAAAGATGAAAAACTGAGTGCAACTCCTATCTGTAATCTAATTTGTCTTTAGTGCCGTACATGTTAAAACCTCCATATTATATAAATTAATCTGATAAATGTAATTTTGCTGTAAGTGTGCAAGAATGTCTGAATTTCCATATGCAGTTAATACTCCCAACATTTGGAGATGCATAATAATCTCATTTATTATACTGATTTTTTCGTCATGCACAGAAAGGCCCATGAGCCTCGTACAGGTTTAGTCTTGCAAGCAGTTTCAAAATGCCATTCATCTTTAGATGTATTTCTTTACACAGCCATTCTAAGCTGGTGTTTCTTACTCTTGCAGTGCTTACCCCATGAGCATTTAAAAAAAAAATACAGCCCCAAATAATACAAACCCTTGAGTATTAGACTACTCAGGAGAAGTTGTAGCAGCTTTTCTCTTTGACTCTGCTAGTTAAATTTTCACTGGAAGATAACGAAACTTCGGTAATGTGCTATTAAAACCGGATGTGCTTAGCTAAAAAGAAGTATTTTATAAGTTTGTTTTGCTAGCCTGTAGGTGGAAAGCACAGTTGAGATCACACTTCTCAAAATATCAGTTGATTGCTGTAGGTACCTGTTTGTCTGTTTTCTGATTGGGTAGAGCTGTTGCTGGGCTGATACTGTTTTGACCAAAATTAGAAAGTCAATATAAACGAGTCAAACTAGACTGCCTGCTTTTTTCAGTTCTCTCTTCTGATTCATCAGTTGTTTGTTTCAAATTCTTACAGCCTTTGTGAACTGGGGGTTGTGCCAGCAAAGGTGAAAGCTCTTAGTGGTTAGTCAGTAAGAACGTTCATAAAAATTTGTCTTGATGACATTTAGATGCTAGCAAAAATATGATGCATAGTTAAAAAAAGAAGTGGAAGTGGGTCCTACGGAATGATCATATTAAACACATGGACGCGAGAACCTATTCCTCGCTTAGGAGACTGCCTGCTTCGCATATTCAGGGATAGCATTCATCCGCTTGACCCTAAGAGGATGTTATTGCCAGTGGCTTGTGGCAAAGGCTTAAGACCTGAGACTTACTGACGAAGGCCCGTATGAAAGAAGGATTCACTGGTTACACATCTTTTTTCCTTCAGTATTAGTATGCATACTTTAACAAGTTGGACTGTGCCTGGGTAACTTAGATTATTAATACCAGGGAGGATTAGACTATCTGTGACTGTAACTACTATATTTGAAGAAGAACAGCATGTCAGTTGTTTAGCAAAATTCTAGGTTAGTGCAAGTACAGCAGTTTAGCAGCTAAGGGTGGATGGCTGTGCTGTACTTGAAGAAATGCTGTTAATTTACCTGTACTGTTAAGATAAAGCTATAGACTTTTCTTTTTGGAAATGAGTAGGTTTTGATGCAAGTGACAGAGGCAAATGTTTTAATTAGTTTATACTTGGGTTAGTTCAGGCTTTCAGAATTTATTTTTTCTTCTTCCATACGGGTGGGTAAGAAAAAGATGGGGATGTTGTTGAATGCCATTCAGTTAGGATCCACTAGTCTTGCCAAAAAAGGCTATTTCTCAGTATGTCCAAAATGAAGCAACAAGAGATGTAATTCTATATCCCACTGAAGGGCAGGGATAGAAAGTGCTTTAAGAGAGCAACTTGGTTAAATCATAAGATCTCAAGATACCATATAAAAATAGAAAGTAGGTCTCATTTAGCAATGATAAGAATAAAAGGGTAGCAAGAACACGCAAAATCAAAATCAGAGAAAAATAAAGCACAAAATGAGATGCAACTAGAAAGGGACGTAAAAAGAAACAAGGCAACTTTCTTTAGTACATTAATAGTGAGAAGACAATAAGGAAATAATTGCTGCAGTGTTCAGAAGATGAGAATTATTGACAAGATGCCACTGTGAGTAGTGAAGTGTGGAATGCCTTTTTTTGCTTCTTTTCCTGAAAGGGTTAAGTATGATCGAATGATTAAGCTCTACTTCAGCCTGAGTTCTTTTATCACTAAAAAATGAGCTGGAGCATATTTAAATGTCTTCAAACCAGCTAGGCCTAATGAAATTTACCCTTTGGTGCTTACAAAAGGACAGAAAGGGTAATGTCTCTGGGATTCTTGAAAAGTTATGTAGGATTGCAAGGTGGTAGGGCACCTGTCTTTAAAAGGAGAAAGAGGAGGAATTGAGGAATAACAGACCGGTCAGTGTAGATTACATTTTGCGTAAAAATCTGGAACAAATAATTCAGCTATCTGTAAGCAATTGGACTTAACAAGGAAATGAGTAAGAGCTAACATGGATTTAACAGTAACAAATCAAGGGGAAGTAGTTTAACCTCTACAATGGGTAACAGGCCTAGAGAAGAAGAGAAAGATGGTGGTCTTTGGCCATCACAACTGACACTTGCTTACCTGAAAGATTAGTAAGCTCTGGCCCATGAGATTATTCTAGTTATATAAAGTGCTGTTTTAAGATGTTTTAAGATTACTGTGGTCTTGGTAAAAATAGATGACCTGTACTAAGTATATCCCATTAGTAATTACCCCAGTGCTATAATAGTTCTGTCAGATGTTTTTGATTTCTTGTGTAAACTGGGTTATGAAAAACAGTAGCATAAAAATTATTTCTAGTTGCTGTATTTGGCATTCCTTCGGTTGTTCTGGACCTGCTATTAACTGAATTGTGAAGCAAATTAAGTATTATCTTCTTTTTAAGCAGCTAATAGCTTCTGATGTTTTCCATGTAATGTGGTTTATTTATTTTATTGCAGGATTTGGTTATCCGTATCATCTTCATTCTTGGTAATTTAACAGCAGAGAATAACCAGGCCCGTGAGCAATTTTTTAAAGAAAAAGGAAGTGTTAACACCTTGATATCATTATTCCAAACCTACCATGAACTTGATTTGAATGCACAGAAATCGTACTATGAAAGAGGAGGGGAAGGAAAAAACCACCCAAAGCACCCTTCAGAAGCAGAAGATGTTCTGATAAAACTGATAAGAGTGCTGGCCAATCTCTCCATTCATCCCAGTGTAGGAGCAGCTCTGGCAGCTGCCCATCGTGTTGTAGAATTACTTGTTACAGTACTAGGTAATAAAATCTATGTTGTGTTTGTTATCTTTGTTCAGTCTGTAAGGAGAGTTTAGGATTTTTCTGCTTGACCTTCTTATCTAGGTTGAGCCATAACTGAATTGGTTCCGTTGCTAAAATAACAAAGTCAATCTGCTGATATTTATAAAGTGTTTTATGTAGAAAGCCTGTTTGGGACAGCGGAAGCATTGCTGCTTTGGTCCTGACTTTTCAGTGTCTGGGGAAAGATGTTGTAGGATGTTTTAATTCAGTGATCAGATTTGCAAATATGATCATTAAGGATAAGCAAACAAATTTTATTTTAAATACATCTCACTGAGAGTTCATATATAAGGGAAGTCTGTTCTTACCAGGTGCTACATAGATGTGTTTGGTGGTGGGTTTTTTTTTAAGGTTTGCAGGTTTTGTGACTGTTCTGGATTAAGTATTCTTTTTGTTCCCCACACCCATAACCTTCAGCCTCCTTGAAAAATTTCCTCTTATTTCTTCTTCTTTTTCAGATTTCCAACCTTTATCTCTTTCAGATGGAAGAGAGTGTCCCTTTCCCTCCAAACGGAGGCTTAGGACTGCAGTTCCTTTACCACTTATTGGTCCCTTTGTAAATCTAATTACAGGCTAAGACTGGGCAGCCTGTTCTCCCCGTAACGGAGTTTAGCAGTGACAAGATACATCTCAAAGAACTCAGTATATTTTAGTGTGTGATGAGAACATTAAATATTATGTAAAGACAAGCAACCTGATTATATGCTACTTTACCAGTCTTACCCACCAGCCACGGGGGATTAGGAAGGCAGCCTCACAAATTCCTCCGTTCTGTCTTAAGCCCTCTAGGAGCTTCCTGGGTTGGAACTGTCTTAATCATTGTGTAAGCGCTTTTGAGCCTCAAAGCTTCTCTCTGCATCCCTCCCCTCTTCTTGAGCACTGTATCAGCTACTTGACTACAAAATGTTCTCTCTCCTTGTAAACTTACCCCTCTTTTATTTCCTTCCCTCTTGGCTTCTGAGGCCAGAAACCTCAGATCAGTCGGTGTACACAACTTCCAGGCTTGCTGGTGTAATTTTACACTGGCTAACATTCTGTCAGGAACTCTGAGAGAGAGAATCTTTCAAATATTGTTAAAGAAGTCTTTTTTTGTTTTCAGTTTTTCATGATACCTGACATTTCACTTTAATAGTCCTTGGTATTTCTCTGTGTCTATCTCACAGGCCTATTTCTGTATGTGGATTCTCCTCAGTTCCATCTTAAAACGGCAAATAGGATCTGTAAAATGTCTTAACTAAATAGATTTTAAACCATGTTGCCTTAGTCACAATGATTTCTGTAGTTGAGGAGTTGGAAAG